GGAACAACAAATAACCTGCGGGAAGCCCTCCGTCTCTGCGCGAGACGCGTCCCCGTTCAGCTTGGGCTCCCCTTCATCCTCTTCATCTTCCTCCACCGACCCCTGGGGCGACTGCGATTCAGGGTGGCCGTTCTGGGCTTCGTCTTTCAGGGCCAGTTCCTGCTCTTCGGTGGTGGGGCAGGGCGAAGCGGCTGTTGGCTCCGCCTCCAGAGGCTGGGCCTCCACTTCCAGCTCCTCCTCTTCCTCTGGTAGCTCTTTGATCTGGTCGACGGAGACGCTGGGGGCTTGAGGGTGGTATTCCGCCTCGTCCTCACTCTCGCTGTGGCTGTCTGAAGAGGTGCTGCCCCTCTGGATGACCCCCTCGCCTCCCCTCCCCTCTGCTTCGCCTCCCGGCTTCTTCTCCGGCTCCTTCTCAGTCACAGCAGTGACGACGACCTCAGGCACAGTCACCTCGACCTTGGGCGCCTTCCTGACCTCCTTGATGACCACAGTCTCTTCTATTTCAACCTCAGCCTGCTCGAGTGTGTCTGATTTCTGTTTGTCCTCTGCCGTCTTGCCGACATCGTTGCTGCTGTAGGCCGGCCCGTCTGCTCTGGGGAGCGCTTTCTCGACATGTACGGCCGCAGGGGGGGAGCCTACAGCGATGGCGCCCTCTGCTGCTGGCACGCTGGTAGTGCAGGCGGCAGCCAGGCCGGAGGTAACGGCCACCGTGCTCGATAAAACAGAGCTGCTGGGGACCTCCTCTTCAAAGGCCGCTTGGGCCCGCAGACGCTTAACCACTTCACTAGGGAGAGACCGAGAGAGAGCTTAAGAAATCCCTCTCTCTCCCCAGCATGAAAAGTGCGCATGCCCCATGCCCATCCATGGCAAGCCCCGAGGGGAAAAATGCACCACACACACAATGAGCGCCAGTACACTCAGAACCAGTGCAACACAACAGCATGAAATAAAGTCTGTTACATACGTCCCCCCCTCACAAAATAAACGTCCCCGTTTATGTGCCAGAATAACAAGGTCCACAATCAGAAACAATAGACCGCTGTGTACAATAAACACAAAACAGTACACAGCACACTGTCAACATGGCAAAAAAAAAAAAAACCTATGCATAGAACACATGTCATAGAACAAAGCCATTACACTTTAGTTCGAACGCACTTTTCCTTGCACCGTTCCGCTTCGTTGCTATTTTTTTTTTTTTTAAATGTTAATTTATTTATTTTTGTCGCATTACATCTTAAAGTTGACACAGTAACATATCCCCACTCCGCTACTGCAAACCTTCTGTCTTCTTGCATAGAAACAACAGGCTCAGCAATAGAACAAGGACAGCCCAATGTCCCAGTACAAACAGTCATATCAGTACAGCACAAAATCTTCTAAATGGCCAGGAAGCCTACGAGCCCTCCCAGTTTCACTGACGCTTGGCTCAGCCCCCTTAACCGAACATTGCGAGTCAGACAACGCACTCAGTCCATCCTGGGGTGAAACACACTCCGCTCCACCAGAAACGTCACACTCCAGTAGAAGTGACTCAGGCTGCGAAGACGAAGCATCGGGCAGTGCCGGAGTTCGTGACAGGGCAGAAACAGGTAATGTGTACGGCCGCACCCTATCATAATGCACTACCTGCGCCCTCTCACCAGCATCAAAAGGATTTACAATCTGATAAGTCAGGCCCAGTTCACCACATGAATCCATGACTTGCACAATTTTATAAGGCCCTTTCCAATGGGGTGCCAGCTTCCTGCGGCTCTCCACCGGGTTGTGGAGCCACACCATGGCACCTACATCATAAGGCCGGTGACGCAAGCCAACATCATGGTACAGCTTCTGATGGTCATGAGCTGCCTCACTGTGCATCCGTGCACCACTAAAGGCAGAGTTCAGTCTTG